ATAGAAACATCGATGAGGGAGAACATTGATTGGCCACCTCTCACATGTCCCCCCACTGGGGATTTGGCCCACAACCTGGGCATGTGCCCTGACCAGGAATCGAACCAGTGACCTCTTGGTGCATGGGTCGACACTCAACCACTGCACCACACTGGCCGGGCATCCAAATTTTGTACATTTTGCCATGGAGTGCTGTGTGTAGACACCCTGATTGGCACTTCCTTGGGGGTAAGCGTGAGCTTTTCCATTAAGGAGGCTGGGAAGAGACCCACTCTTCCGTGGCAGTGGCCCTGGCAGAAGACAGTGGTTAGGTCTCCATGGCCCGCAGGAGCCCCAGAGAGTGACAGTCACTGGAAAAGAGGAAGGGAGAGAAGAAAGGAAGGGTATGTCCTACCAAGGTGGGTGAGAGAGAGAATCCCTGTGGCATTTTGATCCCTGTTTCTGACAATGAAGAATGTCCTTTGATAACAGGCACTGCATTCAGAATGGTAGGGGTGTATGTGTGTGTGGGGGTGGGGTAATAACTCTGCTTATGTTTAACCCAGTGCAGTGCCAACCAGTGGGTGGGTCAGCAGAGTCCTGAGTGATTGGGGGAGATAGGTTGGGATGAAAACATAATCCTCGTCTGGCCGGTGTGGCTCAGTGGTTGAGCGTCGACCCATGCACCAAGAGGTCGCCGGTTTGATTCCCGGTCAGGGCACATGTCCAGGTTGTGGGCCCGATCCCCAGTGGGGGGCATGCAGGAGGTGGCCAGTAGATGTTCTCTCTCATTGAAGTTTCTATATTTCTCATCCTTCTCCCTTCCTCTCTCTCTAAAAATCAATAAAGAAAAAAAATTTAAAAATATAAAAAAAGAAAACATAATCCTCAACTCAGCTGAGTAGTTGTTGTAGAAAAAGGGAAGGAGACAGGGAGCGGCCTGGACGGCAAATAGCAAGTTATCATTGCCACCTCAGTTCTTTAAAGTAGTCATAATAAAAACCATTGGCAAAATGCAACAAGAGCATTAGGAAAATAAATTAATTCCAAGCGGAGGGATCCAACAAGGATGCATGAAGGAAGTGACACCTGAAGGAAACCATGGAGGCTGCACTAGATCTGACAGGTAACAGAGACGGGAAGAGCATTTTGGGAGAGAGGACCAGGGAACAGCGACATTCCCCTAGGAGGCAACAGAGTCTCGGTGAAGAGCAGTGACTGGCATCAGGCTGCTTTAGTTTGAATCCCAGTTCCACCCCTAATTGCATGACCTCAGTTTCCCCACATGTAAAATGGGGAGAGGAAAAGTATCTATGCCTCACTGGCTTGGCGCAACATCGAAAAACATACTTGAGATAAAGCACTTGGCGCAGGGCCTGGCATATCATAAGCACCCAGGATGTGCTATTACTATTGCTTGGTGTGTATGAAAAATGAATAATCACCTTGGTTTGGCTGATGTCTGAAATCCAGGGGTGCTGCCAGGAGACAGGTTCAGAAAAATGGGTTTTGAATCGGATCATGTAGGATTCTAAGTGCCAGGCTAAGCTTTCTAGACTTTATTCTGGATCTCAGTCCTGTCTGACCTAACTCCTTTCATAACAACTATTTTGTAATGCCTCCTTTCTTATACCAAAATGAAATTCATAGAAAATGAATGACCTATATATTCAAAAATCAGTATAATGCTCTAAGTGTGAAATAAAGGGGAAATGAAAGGGAAGTAATTTTAATAAAAGAATCTGTTTTTGATATGTAAATATTTGGGCATTGCTACACTAGAAAAAAAACGAATAGAGAAGTTGGATGTTTATACTTCTATGGAAAATTGCAAGTGCAGTAGCTACAAACACAGGCTGATACCAAGTGTGCAAGCGGGACCCCAATAGGAACACTGATGTCTGAAATAGTGAATGACTCATTTTGAAGTTCCAAACAAAAACACTACAATCCTTCCTCAATTTACAGGGAAGCTGCATTCTTGGGAAATTCAGTGTACATTAAAACCTTGCAAAAAATTGTTTGCATGTAAAACCAAAGTTAAGTTCTGTTTTTTTCACCTACATGGCTATTGTGAGAAATGAAAGCTAATGAATGTTTCACTTAATGGTCCTAAACGTTATAAGACATCTAGCATCCCTGGCCCTTGCCTACTGTCCCTCAATCATTGTGATGACCAAAAATGCCCTCCTACATTTCCCAACTACCCCCACCTCCTGCTCTGGGCAACATGGAATTAGGAAGGGGTGTGCTCTCTTCTGGCCTTTGTATCATGTGAGAAGATGATACTTGGAGCTACTGCCACCATCTTGCAACCATGTAGGGGAAAGTGTGAGGACAAAAGCTAATACAAACACTGGGGATGGCAGAATGGACAGATGGCAAGGCTCAGGATCCTTGATGGCATCACTCAGCCACGGAGTGAACACACCCTGGACGACTTCCCCTGCCCATGAAACTCTTATTACGAGAGATGCTAAATCCACTTCTCAGTTGAGCCATTTTGAATTGAGTCCTCTGTTTCTTGTAGTTAAAAGCACTCTTAACTTTGACAAGTTATGTGCCCCTCTCTGCGTCTTGGTGTCTTCATCTGTACATTGAGAAGATTTCGTAATCCAGGGCCTGTGGTTCTATGCAGGGAAAATGTGGAGGACTCAGCGACTAGGATGGAAAGGGGAGGGAAGGAGCTGGAAGACTCAAAAGCTGATTCCACCTCTCACGCTGGGTATCTGGGAGGAAGGTGGAGGAGTGAAGACAACTAGGGTAAGATGTTGCCTAGTTCCACTTTGGGCAGTTGGCTCACACTAAATTTAGGGGATGGAAAATTAGACCTAAAACCCTGGCCGGTTTGGCTCATCGGTTAGAGCGTCGGCCTATGAACCAGAGAGTCCCGGGTTTAGTTCCCACTAAGGGCGCGTACCTCGGTTTCGGTTCATCCCCACCCCGGTTGGGGTTGTGCAGGAAGCAGCCACTCAATGTGTCTCTCTCACATCGATGTTTCTTTATCTCTCTCTCCCTCCTGCTGTATCTGAAGATAAATGCAAAAATGTCCTTGGGTGAGGAATAAAAAAAAAAAGAAAGAAAGAAAGAAAAATTAGACCTATGTAGCATTATCTTAACTGGCTAAAAATTCTAATCACACAGGAAAAGATTGATGGATAAACACCAAAATATTTAGTTACTTATGGTAGGTTCAGGGATGATTTTTTTTCTCTGTATAAATTTTCCTATTTCCCAAACTTTCTACAACAAATATTTAATGCTTTAATTTCAAAAGTAGTTTAAAATACGAATAAAAACTATAATATAATTTCTTTCAAATGTATCAAAAGAAGTAGACCAGCCCTGGCCGCTTTGGCTCAGCGGTTGGAGCGTCGGCCTGCAGTCCAGAGAGACTAAGGTTCGGTTCCTGCTAAGGGTGAGTACCTCGGTTGCAGTTTGTCCCCGGCCCTGGTTGGTCGTGCGGGTGGCAGCCACTCGATGTGTCCCTTTCACATAGATGTTTTTTTCTCTCTCTCTTTCTCTCTCCCACACTGCCTGAACAAAAAAAGGAAAAATATCCTCGGGTGAGGATTAAAAAAAAAAGTAGATCAATGGAACAGACTATAAAATCCAGTATTAGATCCAAATACGTATTGAAACGAATATTATAAAAATGGAATTTTAAATCAGAGGAGAAAAGATACATAACTTAGTAAATTGTTTGGGAACAACTAGGCAGCCATCTGAAAAAATATTAAGTTGGATCCATACACCATGCCTTATACCAAAGCAAATTCCAAAGGGATCACATATTTAAATGTAAAAAAAAAACCTAAAAGAAATCAAATGATGATTTTTAAACATTTTCAGAGTGAGGAAAAACTTTGAACTATATAACATATATTCCAGAATTCACAAAAAAATGATGGATATATTTCACTACAGCTTAAAAGGAAAACATGGTGCCCTGGCCAGTGTGACTCAGCTGGTTGGGCCTCGTCTGGTGCCCTGAAAGGCTGCCAGTTTGGTTCACAGGAGGCAGCTGATCAATGTTACTCTCTCACATCGATGTTTCTCTCTCTCTCCCTTTCTTTCTCTCTAAAAATCAATTCTCTTTAAAATCTTAAAAAAAAAAAAAAAAGGAAAGGAAAACATGGCAGAATTGCTAGAAATAAAATCAAAAGACAAACTACAAACTGGAAAATATATTTGTAACTCATATCACAAAATTTCTTTAATATAAAAAGAACTCTAAGAAAAAGACAACTCAGTAGAAAAATGGGTAAAGGATATAAAAAAGAAAATACAAGTCTTAGCATAAGAAAATTAAAGTACAATGCCCCCCCCTTTTTTTTTTACCTCAGGCTGTCAAAAGCAATAAGATTTACAACATAATCTGTTGGCGGGAAGTTGGAAAAACAGACATTCATACATTGTTAGTGGACACAACTGAGCAACTGGACAGTATGTACCAAATTAAAAATGTGCGCACCCTTCCACTCGGTGATTCCCCTTCTCACAAAGCCCTTCTTCAGATATCTGCCACACGTCTGAAATGTCATTCATTCATTGCAGCGTTGTTTGTAATAGCGGACCACTGGAAACAATCGACAGGTCCAGCAGTCGAAGACCCACTGAATAAATTGCAGCACATTATACAATAGAATACTGTGCATCCTTTATCAAAGAATGAGGAATAATTTCTAATAATGATATGAAACAATGTCTAAGATTTACTGATAAGAGAACAAAGGTGTACAGCATACTACTGTTTATATATAAAAAAGAAAGTATGCACTTGCTTTTATGGGCATAACATACATCTCAGAGGATCTACTAGAAACTGTTAATAACGGTTGCCTCCTGGGAAGAGGAAGGGTTATGGGGGAGACGCATGCTTTTCACTGTTTCACCTTTTTTTGTTTGTTTGTTTTAATCCTCACCTGAGGACATTTTTGCATTCATTTTCAGATAGAGCAGGAGGGAGAGAGGAGGGAAGAGAGAGAGAAACATCAGCGTGACAGAGACACATCGACTGGCTGCCACCCACACAACCCCAACCGGGGCTGGGGACAAACTGCAACGAGGTACGTGCCTTTAATGGGAACTGAACCCAGGACTCTCTGGTCCACGGGCCGACGCTCTAACCGCTGAGCCAAGCCAGCCAGGGCTGTTTCACCTTTTTGTACCTCAAATAAAAATGGGTGGGGAGAACCACTATCTTTTTAAGCAGCTGCTCTGCTCCTACTGGCTTCTATTCAACCTGAGGCCGGCTGAAAGCCCTCTGCCTTTTCCACATGCAGCACCGTCAAGCCCACTCCCTCCTGTGGATGTGCAGCTGGTTAAAAAGAAAAATGCAGGTCTTTCCACTTTTGGTTGGGGGGAACCTCAAGAAATGACCGAAGCAGGCAGTTTTTATTCTTTTCAAACAATAAATTTGTGAGGAATTGGTAAGACAAAGAAACTAGGTTTGGGTGCTTAATTAGTGAAGAATGTAAGCAGAATTTGGGCTTAGGGTAGTAAATTAGTAAAGAAGTAACCGGATTTGTTTACACAGTCATGCATCACTTAATGGGGATACATTCTGAGAAATAGGTTAGATTTTGTCATTGTACCAACATCAGAGAGTATTACACAAGCCTAGATGGTGCAGGCCTATTGCTCTAGGCTACAAGCCTGTACAGCATGCTACTGTACTGAATCCTGTCGGCAACAGAACACAGTGGCACCTGCTTTTTGCTTATTTTAAATTCGTGCCGTTGATTTCAGCCCAGTTTCAAGATGCTTTAGAATCTTGATTCTGACATTCAAAGATTAGCTTCTGCTCTCAGTAAGTGGTGCCATCTGCAAACATGGTGAGCGTGGCAGGCGCTGATAACAGCTGAGCTGACCAAGTGCAGGTTCCAGAAGCATGGAACGTAAGACTTCTCTCCAGATTCGTATCAACTGGATAACCAACTGGGGGCAGGTGTGTGAATCCACCCACCTGGGCCATCTCCGAGATGCCTATTTTCTTAGTTGTCTCCTCAGTCAGGAGGCATTTCAACGTCTAACTGGAAACAAGGTATACTACGTCCAAGAAATTTTCCTAGTGGCTTTCCAAATAAACAATAAATTATTGTTGCTGTTATTATTTACTGTATCTTGTGAAGGTACCAATTATTTTTCTAGGTGTTCTCAAACCACAGCTTAATATCGTATTCTAGAATGAACTTGGGGGGACTTCATCTCAAATGTATCCACCTAGAGTTTCCAGAATCTACCCTCTTCTGTTTTCTGAATATCAGGACATCTGCAGTCATCAGGCACTGTGACCCCCTTTCCTTCCTCAGCTCCACTGGTTCCCGAATGTTACCTGCAAAGGTATTTCAGCACCTTGGGATTTGCACCTCATTTTAAATGGCTAGGTGCTTAGGTTTCTTCTTACCATCATCTCTTCTATTGGGGATTTCAATGTCCTCTGACCCTTATTTTGCTCCTTATTTTGCTTTACCCATCCAGTTCACAAATGCTTTTCCTCGGGGGAGAAGGAAGAAATGTGCTTTCCAACAAAGACCAGCCTGACACCCGCATCCCCAGGTGAACCCTGTCCTCTTTATTCCTTAGCCTGAATATAGCCGGCATTTCTACCATCTGCACCTTTTTGAAGTCTGTTTATCAAGGCTTCACCCTTCCATCTCCCCCTCTGCCTTCTCCCTTCGAGCCTGCCAGGTGCCCTCTGTAGAGCCGCATTGGTTTCTTCTGTGCTCCCCTTTCTGTCCGAGGTCTCTGCAGGCGGGCCGGCCCCACTGTCGCTGTTAGAGCTTCCCATCCCTCTTGTGCTCCACTCCCACTTCAAGTCTCTAAACTTGGGTTCCTGACTTTTCTCTATTTTTTTTTCAAATTATTTCCTAGAACTATTTATCCATCCACCCATCCATCCACCCATCCATCCATCCATCCACCCACCCACCCACCCATCCATCCACCCATCCATCCTCCATCCATCCATCCACCCACCCACCCACCCATCCATCCATCCATCCACCCACCCACCCACCCATCCATCCATCCATCCATCCATCCATCCCTTGCCCCACAGGCCCTTCTTTCTCAATTCGACTTTCTCCTGTGGTTTCTGTGAAACCCACAGCACCAGGCAATTCTTTCCCATGGTCAGAAGTAAGTTTGGGGGAGCAGCTCCCTGGTAGCGTGTCTTTTCCTCCTCACTGAGAGAGGACCCTGGCCCTGATGCATGTGAAGGATTTCTCGGCGGCTCAGCAGCTAGCTGTGGGGGGCTCTGGTTGCCAGGGCAGAGGCCGTGTTCCAGCCGCTGCCATCCTGCCCTCAGAGCATGGCCCGGCAGTTGAAGGTGTTCCACAGGGACATGGCTTCCGCATGCTCACCCTTCGGTCTCACCTGAAGGCTAGCAATGTGCTGCAGTGTAAAGCATGCAGGGTTTGCAGTCCAACACACCCAGCCGTCTGAATCCTTGCTCTGCCCCTTACTAGCGAGTTGTTGAAATCCCTGAGCTATTTTTCCTCATTTGAAACACAGGGATTTGTCTGGTTGATGGAGAGATTGAGGTGCCCCTGCACAGAAGGTTCCAATACACACCAGCCCCGTGCTCATCTCAGGTTCACGGGTTTTCAGAGGTTATGTGTTCTTGGTAGTTTGTGTTGCTTTCTTTCCTGTTCTATCCAAGCTGTTACTTTTAAACAGGTTGCAGTGTATGTCTTTGCCCCGCGAACCTTCCTTTCATGAGCCATGCCCCTCCAGCTCAAAGTACAGGGTTCCAGTGTGGCTGACCCTGGATCCAGACCCCTTCAGGCTGGGCCTGAGACTCAGGTCTGGTCAGTAGACCAGAGTACCCCAGGCTCACTGGATGGCTTACAGATGAACATGTGTTTCAAGCCAGGTCCTCCAGGAGTTCCCCAGGAGATATTTGCTCATTCTATGGACTTACAAGCTCTAAGAAGCCCAGTAAGTGGAGCTGCCATTTGGCATGTTGTTGCCGGGTGGAAAGAGCCTGTCTGAGGTAAACCGAGGCAGAGGCGGGCGGACCCATGGGAGGAGGACGGGGTCCTGATGCCTTTGTTCGAACCAGTGGACTAACCACTGGACATTTCTGCTACTTGAGCCAATAAATTCCTTTTCTTAGACCAGTTAGCTGGGTTTCTGAGTATGCAGCCATAATAGACAATGTTGACCCTTTTGTTATAAAATCACGAGTTCCTGCTCAAGTTTTATGTTTAACTCCTTAAATCTGTTCCTGTTTTTATGCAGAAAAACAGTAGGACTCAATACACGTGTGAGGCATGTTAGAAATTCCCCAGACTTGTAGACCCAGGTCTGAATCTTGGCTTTGCCGTTTACCAGTCTTGGGCAAATCAGTTAACCCTTCTGAGTTTCACTCTTCCATCAGTAAAATAGGGGTGGTATTGCTTCTGTAGCTGTTCTATAGGTTGGAGCTAATGGATATATGGGCAGGACATGTAGTAGGCCACCAACAAATATCCTATTATTAGGTGGTAAGTATATTTGTTCCCTCAGTAGCTTTTACTCTGACAGATGTCTACAGATGATGAATCCGTGTGTATTCCCCACTCTTTCCAGGTCACACCTCAGCCGCCATGGTTTCCAGGGTTATCATGGCCATAACTAGGAGAGGACAGAAATTCACAAGCTTTGGGAAAAGACGGAAGATGAAGAGGTGGACAGGAATTTCAAAGCTTGAATGGAGATAGAATTAGCCTTGTTTGAAACACTTGCAGAACTTTACGCCCACTTTCTATTTATAAATATCCTTGTCTCTCAGAGTGCTCCTCCTGCACAAGGCTTCAGTGGAAGATAAACACAGAGCAGCTGCTGGAGAGGCACAGAGGCGTGGCCGGTGTGGCTCAGTGGATTCAGCATCGTCCCATGGACAAAGAGGTCCTGGTTCGATTCCCAGTCAGGACACATGCCCAGGTTGTGGTTTCGATCCCCAGTAGGGAGCGTGAAGGGGGCAGCTGATCACATCGATGTTTCTCTCTCCCTTCCTCTCTCTCTAAAATATCAATAAAAACATATTTTAAAATAAAATGCAGAACAGAGGAGGCTGTAGAATTGGGCCTGTATGGCCTGGGCTCAGGGCACAAGGATTTAGGACGCTAGGGTGAGAAGTCTGAAGGCAGGTCAGAAGTATGTCAGTACTGCACTCTCTGGAAGCTCTCCCGCAGGCAGGCTGTGGTAACTGTCCTCCAGACCTTGTCCTCAGGCAGAGCTTCAGCTTATCTACCGCCTACTGTGTCATGCTGATGGCAGAAAAACAAGATAACAGGCTGCTGCAACAGCTGAGCAGTGATGATCCACCAAGACAGAGGGGATGGAGGGGGTAGGACACATCCAAGAGGCATTTCTGAGAACCTAGCGGGGACTTCTTAGAAGTAGAGGGAAGGAAGGACTTGGTCATCTCCAGGATTTTTAGCTTGGAAAACAGGGTGATAATGAAGTTTTAATGAGGTCTGAGAATGTAATTACCACTGCAGGCTTGGGGAGAGGGGTTAAGATGTAATTTAATTTCAGGATCCTGAAGGACATCCATTCATTCACAAACATTTACTGAGTCCTATGTGGTAGTTACTGTTCCGGGTGCTCATTATTCAAATGAGTTTGAAATACAGCTTTGAAGAAATTAGAGATGCAATTTCACCTGCCCTCAACTCTTCGGCCTTCACTAACGCCACAACTTTGCCCACATTGTCTGTACTTGTCACGTAGCCTCTCTGCTTCTCTTAGATAATAACAATCATCACATACCAAGTATTTACTCAGATACGAGACCAAATTCAATACTCCAATAAGAGGATTGCTCTTATTTAAGAGATGAGGAGCTTGAGACTTAAAATGATCGAGTAACTTGCCCAAGGTCTTGCAGCTAAGTGACAGAGCTGGAAGTTGTCCCCACTCACCATCCAGTCTCCCAGGACCCTCACTATCCTTCGTGGTCTTCCCCGAGTTCTCCCAGCAGGATGAGCTATCCCTCTGTGGACCTCATGGTGCTGGGTTTCAGCATCTCCTGGCACATACTGTTCGAAAGTCACCACAGCAAGTGTTTCCGGGACTCGGCGTCTGTCCTCTTTCAGTGTACCAGGCTTTGTTCTACATGTGGTTGTTTAATCCTCCCACCAGTCCTCGTTTTTGTTCTTGTCACACTGCATCCCTCCCTCGGTGCACGGTAAGCACCATGGAGAACAGGGAGAGATTTTCTGCCCACCCGTGCACCCTCCCCCGCCACAGGGCTTTCACAGGCTCCTCATTTGATAACTGAAGGCTGCACTTATAAACTCGAAACGTGGGTCCCTTGGGGGGAGGAAAGGCATGAGATACTGAATTCCAGCGGGAGGTGAGCAGTCTGAAGTGAGACGTGGCTGTCGTCTCCGTTTTCACCCTCCTGTTTTGCTTCCAGCCAAAGGACATTCTCACCAGTCTTCTTGATGCCAGGAGGGCAGGGCCCGACTGGATAGAAAGCGAGTAGGTGCAATTCTATTTTTTTGTCCTTATTTAACCTCTGGCTCCTCATACTAGTCTGGAAATAATCTGCAATACTGAACAGATTTTCCGTGGAAATATGGCATGACCAAGGAACAGTCCATTCTTCTGGCTGCCTTGGTGAGCAGAAGTTGGTGTAGAAACTTCCTCTCACCCAACTGTCATCTTGGAGGCTTTAGGAGGGACAGGGTTTGCTTTATTATTTGCTCTCTCAGGAAGTTGGTGAGTCTCAGGTAACCCTCCAGGCCACATTCCTGTCTCTCCCTCTTCCTCCAGGCTCTCCAAAGCGCTTGGTCTCCAGCCACATTTTGCAGTGTGATATTGATCTATTTGAAAGCATTCCTTTTCAGGATTGCAGTCAACAACTGAGTTGGGTCAACAACAAAATTGGCCTAATTAGTCCCACACGGGATTTGGGCCTGAGCTACAGAGGAATCACTGAGGGCACGGCAAATAGACTTTTCAAGATCTCATTTCATGGCCGAGTCACGGCAGCCTAGTGTGGTGTGTCGGGCCTCTCCTAGACATCTCTTTAGGCAGCAGATGAGGAGGCTCACTCATAGGGACAAAGTTTGTTGGAAGGAAAACACTCTCAGTTGCTAAAATCCAGCTCTGAAACATGAGTAACTGTTACCTTCAGATATTCTCCAAAAAAAGTATTGGTTGGTGGCTAAAGAACCTTTCATTTGTGACTTCCCCCCCAGACAAAAATCCGAATGTAAGAGTGCAAGATTCTGACTCTCTCAAGTCTAGACAATAAGATGAGGGGTCAATGGGGGGGGGGGGGGTGCATGAGATGTCACATGTGACATCCTTAGGTACCCTAAAAATCTCTGCAAAGAAGATAAAACACTTCTTCTGTCTATATTTAAAAAACAAAAGTCCCTAAGATATAAACTACACTTAGGAAGGCAGCCTAAATGAAACCATCTAATATGCAAGGATGTTCTAGAAGAATCTATTAGAGCTGACATTTACATCACTAACGTGGTAGAGATCCAAATAAAATGGACTGAGCGTACTCCTAGGAGTAAATCTTTATTGCACAAGAACTTTGCTTTCCAGCTGCATAAACATGAGAGTCTAGAAAAGTCATGGTGATCATGTCCACTTTCAGTTACTTTACCTAGTTACCATTCTACAGAGGCGAGAACTATGGATTTCCTGATTGAAGACCATTCTGCTCTGTCCTGGGGGAGGCCTGTTCTTTGGTTCATTGCTTTCACTAAAATGCTGGGCCTTTTCCCTTAGATGGATGCCTTATTTACCACTTGGTTCACCGGCTGCACCTTTTCCTCAGCATTTCAGCCTCCAGCAGTAAATATGCCTCAATTTGAAACTGGGGTTTGAATCTAGCTCTGAAGCTGGCTCTGCAGTTCTGAATGAGTAACTTAACCTGAATCTCATTTTATTACTATCAAAGATTACAAGAATTAAAACTTACACGACAGGCTTGGCTCATCGCTTCCAAAGTCTGTTCTCTCTTCTTGCTCCCTCACCTGCCACACCTTAGACTGACTAACTGCATATACTGCTGCTTGACCAGCTCATTTTCCCATAAAGCCATGTTTCAGTGGGCCTGTTTAAAGGGGCTAAATGTAATTTTCCCCACAGATTTCCAAATCAGAGAGAAGTAATGCCACTGCTGGATAAGCCTTAAACTTGGCTTTGGATATAGTTTCCATTTTGCCGGTGCAGTTTGTACTGCAATTGTAATTACGAGACCTGGGGGAAGGGAGCCGGAAGGCAAAGACCTCCTCCGGCTGGGAGGATTATGGAGAGACTTCACAAAGAGATGGCTCAAGAACTGAATCTTACCTAGAGGAAAAATTTTGATGGGGAGAGGGAAAGAGGACATCTCTAAAGTAGATTACAACAAAGCAAAGGTATATTCAGGTACCAGTAAGAAGCTTGGATGTAGAGTTATGTTTAAAGTTTATTTCATCCTATGGTTGCTTTTATACCCTGGTATTTTCACAACCACCCCAGAAGTTCCAGGCAACCCCACATTCTTTTCTCTAATCAAAGCTTCAGGGACCATCACACTCCCTGGGGGTATTTCCTGGCACTGTAGCTCAGCACTGCCAAGGCACACTACTTGCCCAGTTTCACAGGTGCAGTTTGCACTACATAATCCTCATTGAGCTTTATATTATTTGCACATATAATGAGCCAGTTATTTTTACATGTGTATCTTAGAGTACCTACTTGAGCCCTGGCTGGTTTGGCTCAGCGGTTAGAGTGTCGGCCTGCGGACCAACGAGTCCCAGGTCCAATTCCGTCCAAGGGCACGTACCTTGGCTAAGGCTCATCCCCGGCCTTGGTTGGGGTCGTGCAGGAGGCAGCCAACTGATGTGTCCTTCTCACATCGATGTTTCTCTCTCCCTTTCTCTTCCTCCCTCTCTATCTGAAGGTAAACGCAAAAATATCCTCAGGTGAGGATTAAAAAAAAAAAAGAGTACCTACTTGAATTTACTAGCCCCTGAATAAAGTTTACATTTTGGTTATATTAATAGACTGTAAGATTTTATGGAGCCCCCTGGCTGGTTTGGCTCAGCAATTAGAGTATTGGCCTGTGGACCAAAGAGTTACAGGCTTGATTTTGGTCAATGTACCTCATTGTGGTTCAATCCCTGGCCCTGGTTGGGGCCATGTGGGAGGCAAGTAGTCAATGTGTCTCTTTCACATCAATGTTTCTCTCTCTCCCCCTCCCGCTCTATCTGAAGATAAATAGAAAAATATCCTTGGGTGAGGATTAAAAAAAAAAAGATTTTATGGAGGAACACAGAAATATTAGACCTATTGCTTGGATGCAGTTAGACTGATTGGACTAGCACTTGGAACAATTCCACGCCCTGGTGAAATTTTTTAGCAGCCCTACTTACACAGGCAAAACCAAAGCCTTGGCGCCCTCTGGTGGAAGACTGGTCCTCACAGTCAGACTCAACTAGGAATACGCAGGTGTGTATGATGAGCACAGAAGCCACAGTATAATAAACATGGCACATTTTCCTAGATAATCTTTACTTGAAGATTTTTTTTTGGGAAAAAAGATGGGTAATGCAAAACATTTTTATATTAAAACAAATGCATATAATATTGAATAGAATATAAAATTTACATTACTTTTTGAGGCAAAGAGACATCAAAGACATTTCAAGCTAAGCTCCTTGTGAGCTTCAGGCTGTTTTCCTAAACCCTAGGGGAGGAAGGAGACCCCTGCATGCTCGCTCTGATATTATGGGTGCTGCTGCTTTGATAAGGAAGTATGAGAAACAGCAAATTAAGTGCTTACTCATTTGGCCACGTCCTAGCAGAATACTTAAATAAGGGAAACCATACAATATTTTAACCTGTTTTTAAAAGTCCTGAGTAAATAGAAGCTTTATGCTTGAATTGAAATTCACTGCCTTCTAAAGTGACATTTTTTCCCTCTATGAATGGTGTTA